AAGAGGTATTTGGATTAAGAATCTGCAGTTTGGGTAGGGCTTGGTAGGGATATCTCAGCTCTGGTCTTCTCTACGTTAACTGGGGCATTTCAGATGCTGGGGACTGGAATTGGCTAATGACCTGCTCACTTGCATGTCTTCAGTTGATGCTGACTGCTAGTTGGGACATTAGTTTGGACTGCCAGCAGAAACACCACATGTGACTTCTCCATGTTGCTTGAACTTCCTCAAAACATGGTGGTGAGATTCCAAGGCTGAGCTTCCCAAGAGAGTGAGCCAGGTGGAAGCTGTATTCGTTTATGATCTAGCATTAGAAGTCACACATGACTTCTATCACTTCTAGTCATTAGAAGTGAGTCACTAAGCCCAGCCCATATTCAAAGAGAAGGAAAATAGACTTCACCTTTTAATGGCAGAAGCACCAAAGAATATGCGGATACATTTTATAAAATGATAGCATAGTGTTCTATCAAGTAAATATATCAAACTTAACCATTTCACCTACACTAAAACAGGGCATTTCCATTCTTAGACTGATTAACATGTTTATTTATCAGATCTTCTAAAAGTAATTATATATTGCATTATACCAACTAGTTTCCAAAAGAGCATGTAGTTGTTACATATATTAGCATTTAGTAAAGGTTCTTTGATTTTGAAAATTCTAACCAGACCTTAATTGAAATAAGACCTTCTTAAGAGCTAGGGCTGTTTTCATGGGTGACAGCCTTAGAAAGAGATGGGGAAGCAGGTGGATGCTCCTACCTTAGAATTCCCAAGAAAACTGAATGCTTCCAAAACTATAAATTCACACTATGAGTCATGACATTTTCCAATTTAAGATGGGCTGTCAAGGTGAATGTTCCAAGCTTATTTGGCATTGGCAGGTGTAGGAGCTGGAAAGCCAGTATGCCCCACAGGATTGGCTGGGGGTGTCCAAATGCTGATGACACAGTTAGGGTCTCACTTAGGGTATGTGGGGCCCCAAGCAAATATTTTTTGCAAGGTCTCTACCTATATAAACAATTTTAATTTTTAGAATGTATGATAAAATTCATGGGCCTGTTTGATTTAATAATGAATATTTAGAATTATTTAGAGACAAGATGCTTACATATTTGTTTGTTATCCAATCAAAGCACATGAAGATTCTTTGTAGTATCCAGACACCATTTCTTGTTCAGATCCAGGAATCATATCTTTATATTCTTTATCATCAAATATGCCATTCCTTGATAATATCATATCTCCCACTAGGAGAAAAAGATAACAACACTGTTATTATTCACAGCACCATGACTCTTTGGAACCTCTTGACACTGAAATAATATATATATTTTTTACCTCTTTACTTCCTAATATCTTTTATTTAATGGTAGTTACCTCATTACTCATGATCCTGCATCTCCATCATGCTATGATTCTCTCAGAGGTTGTTAACTGTGCTTCATTGATGATGACCATACATGTAAATCTCAGCCAAAATATGCAGGAAAATGTGAATTATAATTCATTTTTCTGGTCATAATAAGCTTATATTTCAGAATTTTATAGAGCAAATTTAGAACAACAGATATTCTAACCATGTATTCTTGAACCCTTTATTCCACAATCACTACACTTCAAGAATATGATCTCTCTTTTTTTTTTTGAGAGGGCATCTCTCATATTTATTGATCATATGGTTGTTAACAACAATAAAATTCTGTATAGGGGACTCAATGCACAATCATTAATCAATCCCAAGCCTATATCTCAACAGTCTCCAATCTTCTGAAGCATAACGAACAAGTTTTTACATGGTGAAGAAGTTCTTACATAGTGAATAAGTTCTTACATGGTGAACAGTGCAAGGGCAGTCATTACAGAAACTTTCGGTTTTGAGGGAATATGATCTCTCTTGACCTTGACTGTACCCCTTCTAACCACGTACCACCACCATGGGAAAGATGGAGAAAGAGTCTTTGAGCAGAGTGAGAAGAGCAGAAAGAATATTTGCCCTTGGACTGGTCCAGGAGTGACCCTCCCAAAAGAGACTGCTGGCTTCAACAGCCAGTCTCAGCTATTGGAGGACCTCTTGGAAATTTTCAAGGAAGGTATTCTAAAACACTGTGACCCTTGTGTGGCCTGGGCCTGGGAACCTGGGGCAGGGTTCAGTTTGTTCAAGTTAGGGGCAGCCTTGAATACAGTCATAGATGACAGAAGGAAGTTAACTGTTGCAGATGAATGTCTCAGCAGAGAGTATGGTAGTAGGTGATACAATGTAGGATAGAAGAGTGGCCATTGTCACCAAAGGCAGCAAAGGTGATAGACAATGCCCTGGCAGCAAAGAAATCCTCATGATGGGTCACATGGACTCCATGAAGAGATTCAGACTAGAAAAGAGTCATTGGATTTTAGTTCCATAGTTTTAAAACAGTGTTCAAGTTCCAGGCTCTGTGGAGTTTTCTTGATGGTCAGTTCTCAATGTTCATCTTTCTTGACCTAGCAGTAGCATTTGACAGAGTTTATTATTATTTCTACCTGAAATGTTTTCTTTACTGTGCTTCTAGGACATCAAACTCACCTAGTTTTTCTCCTAACTCCCTGGCTGTTTTTTCTGTTTCCCCTGCAGATTCCTCATCACCCTCATAGACCTTTAATCATTGAATTTCCCAGAGCTTAGTCCTTGGACTTTATCTCTTCAATATTTATACTCACTCTTTTGGTCCTGTTGTCCAGTTTCATAGCTTTAAATGCCATTTACAATATGACTCTCATATTCATAATATTCATATATCCATCCCAAATCTCTTCTCTGAACTTCAGAATAATATATCTTACTATCTACTTGATGTCTCCACTTGGATGGTGGCTAAGAGACATCCCCACCTAAGATGTCCAAAGCTGAATTCCTGGTTGATCCCCCCAAGTTGATCCACCCAGTGTTCCACATCACATCTTATTTGAAAACCACACCATCCCTCCAGTTGTTCAGGACTAAAAAACTTGGAATCATCATTCAGTCCTCATTTTCCCTCATATCCAGAGGTGTCCTGGAAATATCTTGAATTGACACATAAGAGGCAATCATGCACATCTTTTCTCAACTCTGATTAGTATCTCCAGCATCTACAAGACTTCCTGACACATAATATGTACTCAATAAAAATTGTTCAAGTGAATTATAAATAGCACATATAGGGAAAGGGAAAGTGTTCTGTGCTTTCTAGCCATTAACCAAGTTAGCTCCATATTTTTCTCATTGAGCACCATCTATTTTACATATTGCATTGTGCATACAATTCTGCATTAAAAAGGCTGTTGCATAAACAATAATAATAGTAATAATGATAAGCTTTGAAATACACTTTCTAGTTCAATGCTCTCATTTTTCCTATGGTAGAAACTGAGAATGACAGAGGTAAAGTGACTTGCCCAACATCTCATAATTCTATCCTTACTTCCTAAGCCTAATCTTCTTTGAAGCCTAAATGGGGTAGAGGGAAGGGATTGCATAAAGCTGTGACCTTTTCAGTTCACCTGAGTGGGGTTAAGAAGTTTGCATGGAGTGAACATCTTCAAGAGGAATGTGGACACAATTTGCAAATTATATTAATTACATGATTAGGAACACAGAATTACACCTATGGTTTATGGCTAATTAGATGAAGGTATCCTCTGGCCCTCCTAATTAAAAAAACAATGGCAATAGGGTATGTGGAGAAAACAGAAAACTTTAGAAGGTCAAGATTTAAATAAGTACCCTAAAATACAGTCTGATTTAAAACAAGTGGATATAATAAACAATATACAACAAAACCATACCTTCACTGATCAGATAATTCAGGGAGTAAGGGAGAGCCAACTGATTCTCTGAATTCTTATGTAATCTCTTTGTGGTTACAATAAACTATAGGTCTAGCCATTTATGCATGATCTGCTTGTTGATCCCTGGAAGTTATTTTTTATTTATGGTGCATTTTGCTTATAAATCAGTTCTTTGGCAAAATCATTTCCTAAAAAGATAATCTTAAAAGTAGACTTTGGTGAATATAGTCCTTAAAAAAGTAAGAGTAATTGATTGGCTTGCTTGCTATCATCCTGATGCTTTTTGTTGCTAGTGTTTTTTAAACTTTTATAGGAGAGTTGGCTTTTTAATTCTTGTAAATGTAAGCACATGCCTATGAAAATTCATGAAGGTTTTTTCAAAATCAAATAATCATCCACTTCTTTCTATTGTTCATAATTTTTATGGTTTCTTTAAAGAAATCACTTAAGAAAAGATATTTAATTCCTTGAGTTTCACTTTAGTTGGTTTTCTTCTGGATATAGTAAATTAAAGTTGAAAATATCAGCAGTGATAGTTTTAGATGGTAGAACTGAGGTTTTGTAAAATCCTTTTTTCATTCCCCCAAATTTCTTTCTTTCTAATGAACACTTATTAATTTTATAATCAGACATATATAATTTTTATAATTTTAAGTAATATGATTGTAAATAACAAAAAGCTGATTTGATTAAATCAAATATATACATACATAATATCAACAGGAAATCAAACTTTAATCTATTTATCCCTTCAGGTTTTATCTAACAAAGAGACTCTGACTTCACTAATGAGTTTTACTTCATGTTAGGATAGATAGTAACAGAAAGGGTGGTTCTTGGCAGAAAAGCCTAGAACTTTCCTTTCTTGCCACTGGAGCTAATAAGAGCCATAAACCCACCTGTTTGCTGTGATAAACTCATTCACCTTAACATCAGCCTAATGGGAGGAATTAGAGGCAGTATGCAACGACAGTAGCTGCTGCTGCTGCTCCTGCTAGTATTAGAAAAAAAGCAGAGCCTTTCTTTGGCCCCACCTCTCTCTCCTTCCAGTTGTTTTAAGGCCTCAGACTTAGCACTACTTGAGGCAAAATTCTCAGAGCCTTGAACTCAGCATATCAAGCTATGATATTATGAGTCCCAGAGGTATTCACCTCTTAACATTTCCTTCTTCCTTCATTTATAATTTATAGCTTACTGACTCCAGAAAAGACTTCAGATGCAGTATTTCAATAGGGAACTCTTGAAGACCAGAAACTCCAGAGGCAAAGGAATGCACTTCCAGTGAGGAATTTATGGTATGATGGCCTTTGCATGAGGGTGGTATTTTGAAGCAGTCATGCCCATAGGTAGTTGTTGGCCTTCCCAATCAGCAAAACTGACCCTGTTTTTTTAATAAAAATATAAAAGGTATTTGGAAAGTTACTACAAGAAAACATCAACAGCCAGAGAGCAATCATGCCCAATGCCTGCTTTCCCACATGCTCACACACAGCCCTACCCCACTCTACCTTCCACTCTTTTGCTTTTATGCTCGGTTTTGGGATCCACGTCTGACCCCTGAGGTAATTAATAAAAATTCACCCTGGGGTATTGGAGACTGACAGGCAGAGGTAACATACAGATGTGTAAGTCTGCCAGCCAACAGGAACCAAAAACTTCTCAGTGTCTTAGAAAAGATGTTTGTCTTGCAAAGAGGTTTTATTTGCGATTTGGAACACACGGGACCTCAAAAGTAGTTCTTATTGTTGTTATTTTTGTTCTTTTCTATCCCACAAATAGGTTAGTCTTGAGAAAATACTGATCTATGTTTCTTTCTAATATTTAACCTGAAATTATCTCGGCTCTCTCAATTAGGACTGACAAAATGTTGGGTTGTGGGAGGAGAGGAGAAGCCATTATAAATGAGCAGGGTCCAGGGGTCCAGGAGAAAGCCCAGGCCTAACTAGCATAGGAATGCAAATCCCGGGGAAGATTTATTAGCTGGCCCAGCTGTGGAGAAGGCCTGGACCTGCTCCACACCAACTATCATAATCACAAAGAAGATGAGATATTAACTTACAAAAAAATATTGCATTGGGATTTTATCAAAGAAATATTTTGAATAGTGAATCTTTATATCAAATGGATAATTTGATCACTTAAAGTTTTTAGAATCTCCCAACAATCTTATATTTAATATTCATAAGTGATTTAATAGCAAAGGGCTTTTCTTTTATCCAAACTTCTACAGATAAGAAATTTATATGAATTGGCAATTATTCATTTCACAATAAGAAATGCTGATGATGGTGGTCCTGAAAGACTGCAAGATTCTCAATCTAAAATAAAGTTAAACTGTGCAGTGAAGTGTTAGTGTTATTGTTGTTGGATATTTCTAATTGTTGGATATTTTTATTGTAATTTAGTTCTAATCCATGCACTGTTTATATATGGGATATGTAATAACCCAGAGTTAATCAAAACATCCCCAAATTCTAATTTTGTCATTTCAAGAATGCTATATAAATGGCATCATATAGTATTAATCTCTTGGGATTGGCTTTTCCCACTGATTATGATTCCCAGGAAATTCATCTAAGTTGTTACATATAGCTATGGTATGTTCTTTTTTATTGCTGAGTAGTATTCCATGGTATGGATGTAAATTTGTTTAACCATTCATCTGTTGAAGGACATCTGCATTGTTTCTAGTTTGGGCTGTTATGAATGAAGCTGTTATAAACACTTATGTACAGTTTTTTGTGTGATTATTACTTTTTATTTCTCTGGGATAAATGCAGAAGAATGTAATTATTGTGTCAGATAGTAAATGGGTGTTTAATTTCCTGAGAAACCAACACACTGTTTCCAGAGAGGCTGTACCATTTCACATTTCCCTGGGCAGTATATGATTGATTCCATTTCCCATTCATCCTTGCAGCATTTGATGTTATCACTATTTTATATAAGGAATTCTGATAGGAATAAAATAATATCTCATCATGATCTGAATTTATATTTTCCTAATGCTAATAATATAGAAATTCATCTCATGTGTTGTTTACTTTGCATTGGTGTATCTTCTTCAAAGAAATATCCCTTTATGTCTTTCACTCATTTTCTATTTGAATTGTTTTTTTCATTGACTTTTTAGATTTTTCTATATATTTTAGATACTAGCCCTTTGTTGGGCATGGCTATGAAAATATTTTCTCCTAATCCCTGGCTTATCTTTTCATCCTCTTCACTAGGTCTTTTGCAGAGAAAAAGTTTTCTATTTGGAAGAAGTCCAATTTATCATTTTTTCCTTTTATGGATTATGTTTATGGTGTCAAGTCTAAGAACTCTTTTTCCAACCCAAGTTTCCAAAGATTTTCTATGTTTATTTTTTAAAGTTTATAGATTTATGTTTTCAAATAAACCCATGCTCCATTTTGAGTTTTTCTATAAGGTATGAGGTTTAGGCTGACAGTTTTTTTCTTTTTTTTCTTCCTTTTTTTTTTTTTTGGCCTATGGATGCTCAAATTGTACCAGCACCATCTGTTGAAAAGGCTGTCCTTCCTACATTAAATTGCTTTTGTACCTTTGTCAAAATCAGTAGGGAGTAAGGCAGAATAGATATTTCTCCAAAGAAGATGAACAAAAAGCCAAGAGGTGTATGAAGAGGTGCTTAGCATCACTAATCATTAGGGAGGTGAAAATTAAAACCACAGTGAGGTATCACCTCACACCTGTTAGAATGGCCATCATCAAAAGGACAGGAGATAACAAATCCTGGCATGGATGTGGAGAAAAGAGAATACATTGTTGGTGGGACTGTAAATTGGCACAGCCTGTATGGAAAACAGTGTGGTGGATATTCAAAAAATTAAAAATAGTACTACTATATGATCCATTTCTGGGAATATATCCAAAGGAAATGAAAACACTAACTGGAAAAGATACCTGTATCCCCACGTTCACAGCAGCATTATTTACAATAGACAAGACATGGAAACAACTCAGATGTCCATCAATGGGTGGATGGATAAAGAAGATGTGGTGTATGTGTGTGTGTACATCTATATACATATATAATTAAATATTATTTAGCCATAAAAAATGAAATCCTACCTTTTGTGACAATATGGATGGACTTTAAAGGCATTATGCTAAGTGAAATAAGTCAGACAGAGAAAGACAAATACTTACATGTCTGGAAGCAAAAAAAAAATTAAAAACCTAAAAAACAAAAACATGGAAAAAGAGATCAGATTTGTGGTGGAGGGTAGGAAGAGGGAAAGATGGAGGAAGGTGATCAAAAGGTACAAAGTTCCAGTTGTAAGATAAGTACTAGGGATGTAATGTATAACCTGATGACTAGCACTAACACTGCTGTACAATATATACAACTGTTAAGAGTTAATCCTGAGTTCTTATCATAAGGAGAATTTTTTTTCCTTTTTCCTTTTCTTCTCTTTTCTTTTATCGTATCTCTATGAGAAGATGGATGTTAGCTGAACCTATTACTGCAATCATTTCACAATAGCTGTAAATAAAACCATTATGCTGTATGCTGTAAACTTATACAGTGATGTATGTCAATTATTTTTCAATAAAACTGGAAAAATCAGTATGGCATCTTTATATGTGTCTGTTTCTTGGTTCTCTCTTTTGTGCCATAAATTTATGTGTCCATCATTCTTCTGATGCCACACTGTTTCGAGCACAACAGCTATGTAGTAAGCTTTAACATCAGGTAGAGTGATTCTTCCTACTTTGTTCTTTTTCAAAATTGTTTTAGGTATTTTAGGTCCAGAGCCTTCCCATACAAATTTTGGAATAAACTTGTTTATTTCTACAAAAAACCTTGCTGTGATTTAAATAGGAATTGCACTCAACTTGCATATCAGTTTAAAAAGAACTGACATCTTTACCATGATGAATCTTTCAATCCATGAACATGATACGCATTTCCATTTATTTAGATCCTTTTGAGATTATTTCATCAGCATTTTGTAATTTTTAGGACACAGCTCCTATACTGGTTTTGTTAGCTTTAGACTTAAATATTTTCTTTTTATTGAGCAATTCTAAGTGATATTGTGTTTTTATTTCTAATATTTATTGTTAGTGTATAAAATGTGGTTGAATTTTGTGTTAATCTTTTATCCTGAAACTTTGCTGAATTCACTTATTCTCTGAGTTGAGTTTTTTCCTTTGGTAGATTCCTTGAGATTTCTTACATAGCTAATCATGTCATCTTGAAGAGGAACAATTATATTTCTTTCTGCCAATATTATTTGCCTTTTATTTCATTTTCCTGCCTAACTTTAGTATCTACAACTGTTTTAAATTGTAGGTATGATAAAAATTATGTTTTAAAATTCGGGTGTAAGGCCAAAAGACTAGGATATGATTGCCATTGAAAAAAAGAGTTTGTTATGCTCATAGATCCCAAGAGGAGGGGGTCATACTATGCCATGGACGGGGTTACATGGGTAAGCACCAAGGTGCGGGTGGGGAGGAAAATGGGGGTAAGAGCCTTAGCTGTGGTTACTGCAGGAAGGAACAGGTAAGGCAGAGTAAGCAGGTTTAGGACTGACTAATTTGAATAATTTCTGTGGGCTCTAACGTATAGGGGGTTGTCCCTAGTTGTCTGATACTTAGCCTTGGGGTGTTTAGGGCAGGGGAATAGTGGCCCTGAGTATGTGTCCTCAGTAACAGAGGAGGTGGTTGGATATGGGCTCCCTGGTTGGTTGGTTTACACATGAAAGGCACATTTGCAGGCAAGCCCTTTACTATCTCTAGGATGGGCTAAGAATGGGAGGGGCAATCCCTCCAGGATCATGAAGGCCCAAGGTTAAAGCATCAAATATAGAAACTAGAAAATACGGTTATTAAAAGGATTTTCAGTACAGGTATACCTCTGAGATACTGTAGTTTCAGTTCCAGACCACTGCAGTATTGCAATAAAGCCAGTCAAATGAACTTTTTGGTATCCCAGTACATATAAAAGTTATGTTTACACTATACTATAGTCTTTTAAGTGTGCAATAGGATTATGTATAAAAAAATGTACATACCTTAACTAAAAAATACTTTATTGCTAAAACATGCTAACCATCATCTGAGCTTTCAGTGAATTGTAATCTTTTTGCTGGTGGAGGGTCTTGCCTCAGTGTTGATGGCTGCTGACCGAACGGGGTGGTGGATGCACAAATTTGGGGTTGCTATGATGATTTCTTAAAATAAAGTTTGCCATAACAATTGACTCTTCCTCTCATAAACAATTTCTCTGTAGCATGCAATGATGTTTGGCAGCATTTCACCCACAATGGAACTTATTTCAAAGTTGGAGTCAATTCTCTCAAAACCTGCTGCTTCTTTATCAACTAAGTTTATGTAATATTCTAAATCATCTGTTGTCATTTCAACAATCTTCACAGTATCTTCACCAGGAGTAGGTTCCATCTCAAGAAACCACTTTATTTGCTCCATAAGAAGCAACTCCTCATCCATTCAAGTTTTATCATAAGATAGCATTGACTCAGTTACATCTTCAGGTTCCACTTCTAATTCTAGTTCTTTAGTTATTTCTACCACATCTGTAGTTACTTCTTCCACAGAAGTCTTGAAGTCCTTAAAGTCATCCATGAAGGTTGTAGTCAATGTCTTCCAAACTCCTGTTCATGTCGATATTTTGACCACTTCCCATGAATCACAAATGTTTTTAATACCATCTAGAATGGTGAATCCTTTCCAGAAGGTTTTCAATTTACTTTGCCCAGATCCATGAGAGGAATTGCTATCTATGACAGTTATAGCCTTATGAAATGTATCTTTTAAATAGTAAGACTTGAAAGTCAAAATTACTCCTTGATCCACAGGCAACAGAATGGCTGTTCTGTTAGCAGGCATGAAAACATTCATCTCATTATACATCTCCATCAGAGCTCTTGGGGGATCAAGTGTGTTGTCAGTGAGGAGTCATATTTTGAAAGGAATCTTTTTTCTGAACAGTAGGTGGTCTCAACAGCGGGCTTAAAATATTTGGTTTTAAACAGATGTGCTGTCATCCAGGCTTTATTGTTCCATTTCAAGAGCACAGGCAGAGTTGATTAAGCATAATTCTTAGGGGTTCTAGGACTTTCAGAATGGTCAATGAGCATTGGCTTAGACTTAAAATCACCAGCTGCATTAACCCCTAACAAGAGAGTCAGCCTGTGCTTTGAAGTTTTGAAGACAGGTATTGAGTTCTTTCTAGCTGTGAAAGTCCTAGATGGCATCTTCTTCCAATAGAAGGCTGTTTTATCTACACTGAAAATGTGTTGTTCAGTGGAGTCACCTTCATTAATGATCCCAGCCAGATCTTCTGGGTAACTTGCTGCAGCTTCTGCATCAGCACTTGCTGCCTCACCTGCATTTCCTGTTATGGAGGCAGCTTCTTTCCTTAAAGCTCATGAACCAACCCCTGCTAGTTTCAGACTTTTCTTCTGTAGCTTCTTCACCTCTTTCAGGCTTCACAGAATTGAACAGGGTTAGGGCCTTGCTCGGGATTGGGCAAATAATGTGGCTGGTTTGGTATTCTATCCAAACCACTCAAACATTCCCCCTATCAGCAATAAGGCTGTTTTGCTTTCTTATTATTCATGTGTTCACTAAAGTAGCACTTTTCATTTCCTTCAAGAACTTTTCCTTTGCATTCACAACTTGTCTAACTGTATGATGCTGGAGGCCTAGCTTTCAGCCTGTCATGGCTTTTGACATGCCTTCCTAAGCTTAATCATTTCTAGCTTTTGATTTAAAGCACAACCCTTACTTTCACTTGAACACTTAGTGTTACTTGAACCACTGCAGGGTTATTAAGTGGCCTAATATCAATATTGTTGTATCTTATGGAATAGGGAGGCCCAAAGAGAGGGAGATCAAGGAACAGACTGTTGATGCAGCAGTCAGAACGCACACAATATTTATTAATTAATTTTGCCATCTTATATGGGTGCAGTTCATGGCACCCCAAAACAATTGCAACAGTTACATCAAAGATCACTGATCACAGGTCACCATAACAAATATAATAATAATGAAACAGCTTAAAATATTGTGAGAATTACCAATATGTGACACAGACACAAAGTGAGCAAACACTTTTGGAAGCAATGCGGCCAATAGACTTGCTTGATGCAGGGTTGCCATAAACCCTCAACTTGTAAAAAAAAAGAATCACCATATCCATGAACTGCAATAAAGTGGAGTACAGTAAAATGAGGTATGGCTATATTACGTTAAATAACAGTGGTAAGAGTGGATATCCTTGCCTTGCTCCTGATCTAGAGAGAAAACATTAGGTTTTTTGTAGATGTTCTTTATTAAGTTCAGGAAATTCTCTTCTATTCTTACTTTGCTGAGAGGTCTTACCATAAATGAGTGTTTGAATTTGTTAAATACTTTTCCTGCAATAATTAATATGATCATGTGATAATTCTTTTTGAGCCCACTGATATGGTGGATCACACTAATTTTTTTGAATGCTGAAAGA